GGATAAAATGTATTAGTCTGAGAGAGTATGACTTTACACCAAAATGTCTCTTTGGAAAAGGAGTATTTATCTGGAGAAGTGCCTTAGAGGTAAGAAGCTGGGCCAGAATAAACATGCTCCCTCCTTCTGAAGACTTTGATCTCAGGAATCAGAATGAACCCTTGTTTCATTTAGCATTTTTTTAATCAGTCTGGGAGAGGAATTATTTAGGTTGTTTGAGGAACCAAAGCATGTGGAACCAAAGGATGTAAAAATATCAGTCCCAGGGGCACCTGGGTGGCTCAGTCAGTTTGGCATCTGCCTTCGGCTCAGGTCATGATTCCAGGGGCCTGGGATTGAGCCCCGCGTTGGGCTCTCTGCTCCCTGCTGTTCTCTCTGCCTGCCGGTCCCCTCACTCGTGGTCTCTCTCTGTCAAATAAATAAATAAAATATATTTTTTTAAATGTCAGTCCCAGGAACAATTCGTGGTAGAAAGTCAACTCTGGAAGCTTGCTGTCTGGGTCTGAAAATGGGAATGGTTTCCAGAAGGGTTTAGCTAAACTCAGAGATTGTTGCTTCCTTCTTCGGCCTACTCAACAAACATTTATTTTGCCCCTGCTATGGAGTTGGTGGCCATAATGTGAAGATGAAATAAACGGAGTCCCTGCCCTCAGGAGGGTCTCTACCAGGGAAAAGTGTGGGTGCATAAGATGAACTGGACATAGGCATCACTAGAAATGTCTGTAGGGCTGAGAGGTATACAGCAAGGAGAGTGTTCAAATCTATCAGGAAGGGCCTTCATAATGAAGGTACAGGTGTGTTGAGCATTTGCAGAAATGTCTGTTCATGTCCTCTGCCCATTTCTTGATTGGATTATTTGTTCTTTGGGTGTTGAGTTTGATTAGTTCTTTATAGATTTTATTTTATTTTTTTTTAAGATTCTATTTATTTATTTGACAGAGAGAAATCACAAGTAAGCAGAGAGGCAGGCAGAGAGAGAGGAGGAAGCAGGCTCCCCGCTGAGCAGAAAGTCTGACGTGGGGCTCGAACCCAGGATCTGGGATCATGACCTGAGCCGAAGGCAGCGGCTTAACCCACTGAGCCACCCAGGCGCCCCAGTTCTTTATAGATTTTAGATACTAGCCCTTTATCTGATATGTCATTTGCAAGTATCTTCTCCCATCCTGTCAGTTGTCTTTTGGTTTTGTTGACTGTTTCCTTTGCTGTGCAAAAGCTTTTTATCTTGATAAAGTCCCAATAGTTCATTTTTGCCCTTGCTTCCCTTGCCTTTGGAGACAGGTCTAGGAAGAAGTTGTTGCAGCTGAGGTCGAAGAGGTTGCTGCCTGTCCTAATGAAAATATTGAAGATAATATTGTCCTCAGGGACAAAGTGTGGGCAGGTCTGCCAGCAAACCCTTCAAAACTAGGCTTCTCAGTTGTGACATAGACTCATTGAGTACTCAACATCTGCCTGGGCCTCCGGGGCAAGAAGAATCAATGTACATGAGAAGCTCATGCTGCTTCTGTGCCTGAATCCACGTGGATCTTTCTCCACAAGGGCTGAATACACAGATATATGGCAAGATGACCTTGAGCTCTAGTAGTCACTGCTGCTTCGGGACTTGACTACCTGACACTATGCCTCCCACCAGCAAGGGCAGGGGCTGAATCCACAATACTCCTATTTGGTGAGAATTCTGACTGGAGAAATGAGCAGAAAAACTTACCTGAAGCTGATGAAATCTTTTAGGCCCTGGCAGAGGCAAACTTGAAACTGCTTTATAGGAGTCCTTCCCTAACCTACAACATAAAGAATTTCCATTGAAGAGAACCTCACCAAATATCAACTCACAATTTAAGTAATAATAAATCACAGGAGAAAAGGCTACCAGCGGAAGTGTGGGGGAGCATACATAGCACCTGGGAACATTTGAGCGTTAAGATGTAGAGATAATAGAGCAATCTGAAAGAGACTTTAAACAAGTATGTTTAAAATACAGTCATTCCTCAGAGATATTACAGGTTCAGCTCCAGACCACTGCAATAAAATGAGTATCACCATAAACCAAGTTGAATAAATGTCTGCTTTCCCAGTGCATATACAAATTATGCTTATGCTACTCTGGAGCCTGTTAGGTGTGCAATAATATTATATCTAAAACAATGTACAGACCTTAATTTAAAAAACACTTTATTGTTAAAACATGCTAATCATTATCTGAGCATTCAGTGAGTCCTAATCTTTTCACAGGTGGAGGGTCTTGCCTCAATGTTGATGGCCACTGACTGGTCAGGGTGATGGTTGCTGAAGGTTGTGGCAATTCTTAAAGTAGATGACAAAGAAGTTTGCCACATTTATTGACTCTTCCTTTCACAATTTCTCTGTAGCATTGTGATGACATTTGATAACATTTTACCCACAGTAGAACATCTTTCAAAATTAAGAATCAATCCTCTCAAACCCTGTCGCTGCTTTATCAACTAAGTTTGGACTTAGAAGCGGTGATACTCCAGGAGCAGTTAGCTTATCTAGCACACAGAATTTGGTGGTTTGTTTTGTTTTGCTTTGTTTTGAGAGGGAGAGGTGGGGGAAGGGGCAGATGGAGAGGGAGAGAGAGAATCTTAAATAGGCTCCATGCCCAGGGCAGAGCCAGACTTGGGGCTCAGTCTCATAACCCTGAGATCATGACCTGAGCTCAAAATCAAGAGTCGGATGTTTAGCCAACTGAGCCACCCAGGTACCCCAGATTTGAGGTTTTAAATGTTATTCTCCACTTAAAGGAACCAGAGCATCTTGGGGAAATAGCTGATTTCAGGACTGGGGTAGAGGAGGTACAAACTGGTCCTGGGATATCTTGTGCCAGGAAAGTAAGGAAGTGCACACATAATAATAGGGCCCCATGGAAAGGACAGAAGGGCTAGCTTGAAGAGGCTCCCAATGGCCAAATGTGGGACAATTCAACCCTCAGGATAATTAGAATAAGATCTGGTTATAATAAGAATCCATAAGTAGGGGCGCCTGGGTGGGTCAATGGGTTAAGCCTCTGCCTTCTGCCCAGGTCATGATCTCAGGGTCCTGGGATCGAGCCCCGCATCAGGCTCTCTGCTTGGTGGAAAGTCTGCTTCCCTTCCTCTCTCTCTGCCTGCCTCTCTGCCTACTTGTGATCTCTGTCAAATAAATAAATAAATAAATAAATAAGTCTACTTTTATGTAAATAAGTGGTAAAAAAGAAAATTTTCCTTACCACAGAAAGGCAAGAGTAAGTGTTGAAAGAATGATGGAATTAATAAAAAAAAAAAAAAGTTTGGCAACCACCTTAATAATTAAGGCAAGTTTCATCAATGGATGCTGAAATTATTGGGTAAAAGTTTGAAGAGTGATATTTATATAATCTCAAAGTATCTCACCATAGGAAAAGTAATAGTAACTGTACAACGAGGAAATCCGCTGGCATCACCTTAACATTGCACCCACCAGACATCACATAGAACGAACGCCAGGTATCTCCTAGTAGAATGCATTGAAAAACAGGCACCTAGGGCTGATCCTGTACTTGGAGAAAGCTGAGAACAAACACCTCCTTAAATTCTGCACACTCAGAACTTACCCTCCCACCCCCAGCTTACTCCAGTCCCAAACCTGCTGAGAATAGCGCAACATTACTTTGGTCCTACTACTCTGACCCAAAGTACATAATCTGAATCTAATCATGCGGAAATATCAGATGAATTAAAAATGAAGGACAAAGGACATTCTATAAAATAACTGGCCTATGCCCTTCAAATAGATCAGTGTCACTAACGACAAAGAAAGATTGAGCAATGGTTCCAAACAAAAGGAGGCTTAAAAAAACATGAAGACTGATTGCAACACCTGATCCGGGATTTTCTTTTTCAGTAAGGGTCACTATTGTGACAATTTGTGAAATCTGAATAAGATCTCTAGATTAGCTAATGGTATTGTGTATGATGATTATGTAAGAGAATACTCCTTTCCAGAAAATTCTGACTCAGGTATTTAGAAGCAAATGGGCATCATGCTTGCAACTTACTTTCAAATGGATTAGAAAAAAATATGGGTAAATAGATAAATAGAAAAAGATAAACTAAATGTGGTAAAATATTAACATTTGGTAAATCTAGGTAGGATCCCATGTGCCAGGAGTTATTTGTGCTACCTTGCAACTTTTCTGTAAGTCTGAAATTGTATCAAAATAATTTTTTTCAAATCAAATATCTAATAAGAATTCCCTAAGAAGAGGATAGAGAGAAGGGGAACAGGTAACATGTACACAGTAGACCATTTTCCAAAATTGGAAGACCCAGGTCCTCGGTCTGAAAGGTCACAGCAGGACGTCCCCAGCAAAATAAATCAAAAGCCAAAATCAACAACATAAGGAGCAACAGGTGTTGGCAAGGATGTGGAGAAAGCAGAACCTTCTTGCACTGTTGGTGGGAATGCAAACTGGTGCAGCCACTCTGGAAAACAGTATGGAGGTTCCTCAGAATGTTAAAAATTCGGGATACCTAGATGGCTCAGTCAGTTAAGCTTCTTCCTTAGGCTCAGGTCATGATCCCAGGGTCCTGGGATCAAGTCCTGCATTGGGATCCTTACTCAGTGGGGAGCCTACTTCTCCCTCTGCCTGCCACTCCCCCTGCTTGTGTGCTCTCTCTCTCTCTCTCCCTCACAAAGAAATAAATAAACAATATTTATAAACTTAAAAAAAAAAGGTTAAAAATACAATTATCCTACCACCCAGCGATTGAACTACTGGGTATTTACCCAAAACACTAAATCAAAGGGATACATGCACTCCTATGTTTATAGCAACATTATTTATAATAGCCAAGATATGGAAGCAGCCCAAGGATCCATCAGTGGATGAATGGGTAAAGAAGATGTTGCATATACACAATGAAATAGTATTCAGCCATAAGAAAGAATTAGAGCTAGGGAGGAGGCGGTGGTAATCCGAACGTGGAGGAAAGGCTTGGGGAGTTCGGGGGCAACTAACAGCCAAAATGAAGGTGAAGAGCCGGAACCCAGACAACTATGTCTGAGAAACCAAACTGGACTTACAAAGAGTTCCAAGAAACTATGATCCTACCTTACATCCTTTTGAGGTCCCACGAGAATATGTAAGGGCTTTAAATGCTACCAAACTGGAACGGGTATTTGCAAAACCATTTCTTGCTTCTCTGGATGGTCACCGAGATGGAGTCAATTGCTTGGCAAAGCATCCAAAGAGCCTGGCTACTGTCCTTTCTGGGGCATGTGATGGAGAGGTTAGAATTTGGAACTTGACTAAACGGAAATGTATCCGTACAATACAAGCCCATGAAGGTTTTGTAGGAAGAATATGTACTCGCTTTTGTGGGACTTCTTTTTTTACTTTTGGCGATGACAAAACTGTGAAGCAATGGAAAATGGATGGACCGGGCTACGGAGAAGAGGAAGAACCATTACATACAATATTAAGAAAGACAGTGTATACAGGAATTGCTCATCACTGGAAAGAAGCTGTTTTTGCCACATGTGGACTGCAAGTAGACATTTGGGATGAACAAAGAACAAGTACTATCTGTTCAATGACCTGGGGATTCGACAGTATAAGTAGTGTTAAATTTAACCCAATTGAGACATTTCTCTTGGGAAGTTGTGCTTCTGACAGGAATATAGTACTATATGATATGAGGCAAGCTACTCCTCTGAAAAAGGTCATCTTAGATATGAGAACAAATACAATTTGTTGGAACCCTATGGAAGCTTTCGTTTTTACTGCAGCAAATGAAGATTACAACTTGTATACGTTTGATATGCGTGCGCTGGACACTCCTGTAATGGTACATATGGATCACGTGTCTGCGGCGCTTGATGTGGATTATTCTCCCACTGGGAAAGAGTTCATGTCTGCTAGTTTTGATAAATCTATTCGTATCTTTCCTGTTCACAAAAGTAGAAGCAGGGAAGTCTATCACACAAAGAGAATGCAACATGTTATCTGTGTAAAATGGATTTCTGACAGCAAATATATTATGTGTGGATCTGATGAAATGAACATTCGTCTGTGGAAAGCTAATGCTTCTGAAAAATTGGGTGTGCTTACATTTCGAGAAAAAGCATCCAAAGATTATAACCAGAAGTTGAAGGAGAAATTTCAACATCATCCTCATATAAAATGCATTGCTCGTCGCCGGCATCTACCAAAATCTATCTACAGCCAGATTCAGGAACAGCGGATCATGAAGGAAGCTCGCCGACGAAAGGAGGTGAATCGTCTCAAACATAGCAAGCCTGGATCTGTGGCAATTGTGTCAGAGAAGAAGAAACACGTAGTGGCAGTTGTGAAATAATACTTGGTATTCCTACCAATCTTGATGTATAATTATTTGTTTTATTTTGATGTGCAGACTGTGCAAATAAAGTACTGGCTCTAGAATCATGACAAACAGCTCAGTTACATGTGTAGAACACTATCCTGAAAAACTGTCCTGAAAGATGGCTTGGTTGATAAGACTATCCAACATATTATCCTTGATCTGCTTGCTTATTTCATTGAAGAATACAGTATTGCCAACTAACATGTTTATTACTGCTAGAAATTGCAGATACACTTTGATCTATTATTGTAGATATACTGTACATTTGAATTTACATTTATGACCAAACATCTCTTTTGTTACTTTTAGTATTATTTTGGGTAATTATTGCCATGATTCTTCCGGTGATTACATATAATGTGTGGAAGAATTATGTCAGAACTTTTTAAAATTCATTTAATTTTCTGTGCTGTATTTGTATTTGGCTCTTTGAGACTTTAAAGATAATCAGGTTGCATTTATATAACTTTTATAAATAATCATTATAATTTATGGTCAAGTTAAGATAATAAAACATCCTTTTCTCAGCGTTGTAAAAAAAAAAAAAGAATGAGAGCTTGCCATTTGCGGCAACATGGATGGAGCTAGAGAGTGTTATGCTAAGTGAAACAGGTCATTTAGAGAAAGACAAATACCATGAGATTCCACTTACATGTGGAATTTAAGAAACAGAACAAATGAGCAAAGGAGAAAAAAAGAAAGACACAGATTAAATAAAAGACAAGGCCATCCCTAGGAAGATCAGAACATGGAATCTGAATAGAAAACCGTAAAGCCACCAGAAAGAAAAGACAGAGTACCCACAGAAGACTGACAATCAGACTAGCAGCAGACTTCTCATTCAAAATGCCCATGCCGTAAGCCAAGGCAACAATAAAGTACAGAAAGCAAATAACTGTCCAGCTAGTATAGTATTTTCTACCAAGTTGAACTATCTTTTGAGAGTAAAAAATATACCATTTTCAGATATTCAAAAACTTAGGAAGTTTACTACTTAAAGATCCTCACTGAAAGAACTCCTTACTGATAGAATCTAAGAAAAAGAAATTGACCTAGAAAGACAGAAATTGAATGAGGTACGAAAAGCAATGCTGAGCAAGTGGACTGATACGCATGTTATTAAACTTATATACAGAGAGACCTCAAAGAGTGAGACAGGGAGAGAGAGAGATGGGCACATTCCCACCTCAGTTCAAGTAAGATGACATTCTGCCTTCTGGTTTCAGCTCTTACGTTGTAAACAGATGTTCTTTTTCCTATTTAGTGCTGCCCTTCTCACATCTGTGCTTTGTATTGGTGATTTTGTATTTAAAATGGCTTATAAGTGTATGCTGAGATGCTCCTAAGCTAAGAAGCCTGTCACGTGCCCTACAGGGAGAATACCTGTGTTAGATAGGATGCATTTAGGCATAAATTACAGTGCTTTGGTTGTAAATTCAATGCTAATAAATCAACAGTACATATAGGAAGCAGGGTCTTTAAAGAGAAACATGTAAACCAAGGTTATGTATTGATCCATTGAGGGAAACGTGACCAGAGGCTTCAGGAACCCAGCTCTGTGTTGTCTCTAGAGGAAACAGCTCAGTGTTTGCTAACTCAGTGTCGGTATATCTTTACAGGACATAACAAATAATGAGACTTGATTGTATTTTTTTTTAGTTAATTTAAAATTCAGTGTTTATTGTTTATGGTTCCTTATCTTCTTTCTTCCCAGGGTGTTCGGAATTAGATTTTATTCTTAGTTTCATCTACTTTACATTACTAATGCAAGACATTCCCGAGTTCCAATTTGTGAAATATAGCCTGTATTAAGTAACTAACTGTATTTTTCTTTTCCTTTCCTTTCTTTCTGTCCTCCTTCCTTCCTTCCTTTTTCTTTTTCTTCTTCTTTTCTTTTTTTGGTGTGCAGCAAACCAAAGTTTATTGAGTGATAGTAGAGAGCTCCTAAAGATGGAGGGGACCCAAGAGGGTTGCCCTCTTTCTTTCTTTGAGTATGGTTGACACCTGATGTTACATTAGTTTCAGGCGTACAGCATAGTGATCCAACAACTCCATACGTTATGCTAAGCTCACTGCAAGTGTAGCTACCATCTGTGATCATGCCATGCTATTACAGTATTATTGACTATATTCCCTCTGTTGTACCTTTTATTTCCCTGACTTATTCATTCTGCAACTGGAATCCTATACCTCCCACCCCCCATTCACCCATTTTACCTATCTTCTACCTCCCTCCTCTCCTGCAAACACCAGTTATATTCTCTGTATTTGTAGTTCTGATTCTGCTTTTGTTTGCTTATTTGTTTTGTTTTTCAGATTCCACGTATAAGTGAAGTTATGTGGTATTTGTCTTTCTCTGTCTGACTCATTTCACTTAGCTTAATACCCTCTAGGTTGGAGTAACTATATTCCAAAGCAGGGTTTTTCCTTCCCTGATGGGATAGAATGCAAACATGCCTACTAAAGTGTCCTCATTATTATTATTTTTTTAAAAGATTTTATTTATTTATTTGACAGACAGAGACTACAAATAGGCAAGAGAGGCAGACAGGAAGAGAAAGGAGGAAGCAGGCTCCCTGCAGAGCAGAGAGCCCGATGTGGGGCTCGATCCCAGGACCCTGGGATCATGACCTGAGCCAAAAGCAGAGGCTTTAACCCACTGAGCCACCCAGGTGCCCCTAAAGTGTCCTCATTATTAACAATCATATCAAGTAGTTTGAATTTACTCAAGTCATATAAATGAACCAAGAATTTTAAGTTATTATGCTTAGCTTTACGTACGCCATTTGGTGACCCCCCACCCAGGTCAACACAGCTTGCCCACGCATCATAGGATTGGGTTCGTTTAAAGTCAGTTGGGAACCCGCAATTTCTTCTTGAAATGGGCTATATATAAAATGACTGAAATCAATCTGCTAAATTCAAGAATTCTGAGTTATGTTTGCCAATGATATCACCTTATGGTCATGGTAAAGGATTCAGAGTACTGTGTGCAAAAGGGACTTTCAGGAGTGATGGAAATATTTTCTATCTCGATGGTGGTGGTAGTTACATAGATGTATACATCAACATTCATAGAACTGTGCAACTCAATAAATCTGGCTTTTAAAAAAGCAAGAATATGGGTGCCTGGATGGCTCAGTCAGTTGAGTGACTGCCTTGGGCTCAGGTCATGATCTTGGAGTCCTAGGATAGAGTCCCACATCAGGCTCCTTGCTCAGCGGGGAGTCTGCTTCTCCCTCTGGCCCTCCCCCCTCTCGTGCTCTCTCTCTCTCATTCTCTCTTTTCCAAATAAATAAATAAAATCTTTTAAAAATGAGAATCTTATGGTATTAGGGAAGAAAATAATGACAAAGGTGGCTAAGTAATATGTGAAAGGAAGTTTCCTTCTTTGTTTTGGCCTCTTAGACAAAAGGCAAAGATACAAATCTTTATTATTGAAAACTTAGGAGTAATGGCTTCTTTTCCACATTTTCTTCTGTACCACCATTCTTTACTTTGGATTTTTCATTGCCTTATATAAAAATTCTAAGTTTTTCCTTGAAAAACAAAGTGTTATTTATATTTAAGAATATAATAAAGCTCTTAGCCATTCTCTAATGTGGTTTTCATTTTAATTCAGAGAACTCATTCACTTGAGATTTGATCATGTCCATAGTTGAATAAAAGAATCTAGCCATGAGTGAAACAGGATGATTGGGGAACACCTGGTTGACTCAGTTGGTTAATCATCTGCCTTCAGCTCTGGTTATGATTCTGGAGGTCCTGGGATCAAGCCCCGCATCAGGCTCCCTGCTCAGTAGGAAGTCTGCTTCTCCCTCTCTCTCCACCTACAGCTCCCCTTGCTTGTGTTCTCTCTCTTTCTCTGTCAAATAAATAAATAAATAAATAAATAAATATTTTTAAAAAGGAAAAAGAGAGAAACTCCCCAGATTAGGGCAAACTGGGACAGTCGGTCACACTTACAAGGAGGGACCATGACTAGTTTTCTTGGAGGTGGGAGACAGTGAAGTTTCTGGGTTCAGCCTTGAAGCACAATTCATTTCCTGAATAGGGTATGGTGACCCTGGCATAGTTTCTGATCTAGGCTTGAGTAATTGGATCCAAGTTCTTGGGAATGTGCAAGGTTGATACAATGAGTTGTAATCCTGGGCTCTACTGTAAGAGGAGAAAGTGTAAGGAGGGTCAGTGGTGGGGAAGAGCCTGGGAGAGCAGCCTCATGGGCCACCTCTGAGGCCAAGCCCAGAATGTGAGGAAGAAGGAGCCAGATGAAGACCAAGCCTACCAGGTGATGGAGCTCAGAGCAGTAGTGGCCTCTGAATCAAGAACAGTGGACTGACCCACTAGCAAAGGGACCTTCAGAGTTTGTGAGCCCTGTGCCTTGAGGCCCACAGGTTCCTTACCTTGAGAGCAGAGCAGGGGAAGAGATGCCAGCAGAGAACAATGAACATGGAAGAAACACTGTATCCCTTTGCTGCCCAGCCCTCTCCGAGACAATAGTCTGTCCAGGTTATAGAAATCAGCTCTGGATTTTAAACCTGAGATCTTCATGTTTGAAGTATCCCATACCCAACACCTGAAATTATATGCCAAACTTGGTGTACATCCCTATATTCTCAGAAGATAGCATCCATCAGGGTCTCAGAGTTGTTCAAGATAGGAAACAGATTAAGAAACACAAGACTAAGTGGTCGCTAAAGCCCTTCTTGTTTTCACATTCTGTGATCCTCTGATAATACTCAAGATAATTGATTTGAATTTATAAAAAGGATCACAAAAGAAGTGTCAGGATCCAAGAAACCCAAGAACTATCACCTGGAGAAATATGCTAAATACTAATATCAGGGAATTCCAAACAGCTTTCTCTGTTGTGAAAGGGGACCTGTGATAGTTGATTTTATGTCAGCGTGGCTAGGCTCATGGGCACTGTATGGGTACTCAGTTGTCTGGTCAAACATCAATCTAGGTGTTGTTGTAAGGTATTTTTTAGATGTGATTAACATTTAAATCAACAGACATTGAGTAAACCAAACTGTCCTTCATAATGTTGGTGGGTCTTATC